GATGTCTAAGCCTTACTTTCAATCTTGTTTTAAGCAGGATTTGCTTCCATATGTTATTAATGGACTCTGGACTCTAATAATAGAAAAGTTTTAATCACAAAAGTAACATACCCACATGGTAAAACAAAATTCTAGTAGTAAAGAATATTAACTAAAAAACAGAAGTTTCTCTCCCTTCGACCAGCTACCTCCATTCCCAGTCCCAGCAAGTGGCTCCAGGTTCTGTTTCTGGCTTTTCTGGCAGCCAGCACCACAGTGCCGAACAACCCACTTCCCCCTCTGTTCTTGTTCCACCAACCCTGGATGGTATACAGGTGCTACTACTTTTCACGTTGCCTCCACTAATCACAACCAATTTTTGTGATATCGATACAGGGTGCAGCCAGGAGGGGGTCCCCAAATAGGGATTTGGAATGGGGTCCAGAACTCAGGGTGTGCAGGAAATATTAGAAAGATAGAAAGGGTGTCCTCACCCCTTCCCCCAACAGGTGTGAGTTGGGAGAAGGGACACAGGGTGCAGGGACATGCAGAGCTGTTTTGTCCAGCCACAGCTTTGCACCTAATCCATGACATGGTCATTTAACATATCTGTAACCTTTAACTGGTTGAATAGATATGTTAAATAGCTGTGGCCATGCTCTGAGCCAGGGGGATGGAAGAGACTTCCACCCAAAATGTAACTGGGGGGGGGGGGCAGATCCCCCTGGGTTATAGCACCTGAGTGAGAGCTTGGACAAGACTGGCTCCATGCCATGGGCCACACCTGCCCAGACTCTCGACGGCAGCCCAGTAAGCTTGGAATAATACAGGAATGCTGGCAGGTGTAACTGATTGTCGGAGGAGTTGGAAATGGGTTATAGAGGAAGATTGGCTCCGGGATTTAAACCCAGACACGGCAGCCATTGGGTTGGGGACCACATGGCTTTGCCAGGGTGGGGACTTCGGCAGCTTGGGTAGAAGAGGATCACACAGCTTTGGGGTGCTCCCTTTGGCTACGTGGCCTAGGAGGCAGGAGAGACTTTGCCTGGAAGAAGGGTGAAAGAACCCTTGTCAACAGGCCATAAGAAGGTGCCACATGGCTTTGGGTTAGCTGGAGATCCTGAACAGCAACACAGCTGATGGTGCTGGAAGTCTGAATTACGGATGTCTACTTCTTTTCCTGGGATACGGTGCCCCAGTTTAGGGCAGGGGGAGAAGGAAGCACTGTGTACGTCTGTGGGTATCCTAAAGGACTTTGATACTTTAATGAAGACTTTAGGTCACTACTTTAAGTCTGTATAGCTTTAAATAAACATTTTCTTTCCTTTTCACAAATCTCTGGCATTGAGAGACGTCTTTCCTCTGGCCTCTTTCCTCTGGCCTCGGACAAGCAAACCTAGTGGGGGGTCCTTTCGGTAACAGTGTATCATACCCCCCTTGGCCCTGTGTTCTGTAACAATATTACTATTTTACAATATTACTATTTAAGTCTTCTAGTGGCTAATTTTATAACTTCATAAATTTAAAGACTATTTCTTAACTTCAAAATGTGTTATTTATAGACTGAAGGCAGTACCTGACTCTCCACCAAGTAGGACAACAGACACTGACACACCTGCCTGCTCCTCGGCTTCCTGCCCCTGCTCTCCACCTCCGGCCTTCTTGTGGCTGCTCTCACACTGTCACGGGTTTTGATACTTACATCTGGTGTATAACCACAGCTTAACTTTCCATGCTTTAGCTATAACTGATCCTAACACTAGAAACTAATTAAAAACAGTATTATATTATTTCACTACATTTGTGTTAAACAAAAGAAAGTTTTCCAAGTGTCAAGGCTAAGTGTTTTCTGTTTTTAACCACTAAGGACTCAAGTCAAATTTTAGCTTTGATTTCATCTTAAATGAAAGAGTTGTACATTTCATGGCTCATGGTATAATTATTATGAAACAGCTATTTCAGATCCACTCATTCTGGTTTGGGGAAAAAAGGAGAAAACTCCTACTGAGCCCACACAGAGAGAACAGTAGGGAACACTGTGTAAAGAACAGACAGTGCCATAAACCCTACAAGCTGACACAGGTCGTATCTTTGCTCGGCGTAGAACAGATGTGAATAGACGACTCTAAAACCAAGTGAAGTATTTAATGACAAACAAGTACTTAAAGTTCGACTCTAACTTGCTTTATGCTCATCTGTAAGTCATATTTATAAGAAAGTAAATATAACTGCTGTATCCTAATTTGATTCTTAATGTTCTTCCGAGGATGAGTTTCCTTATCCACATCATCTGTGAGGTCCAGAACCTGCCGGTTAGAATGGAGCAAAAGCCTCCCTGGCTTGGAAGGCTGGCTCACGAACGGCTGCTTCTGGTTACAGGAGGGCCTGGCTAAGACAGCAAAGGCCACGCCAATGGTGTGAAGATTTTCCCACTATGAGAAAATCACTAGCAGCATCAAGTCAAATACTGCATTTATATTTAGAAAACCAAGTTATTAACCATAAACATATGGTCTATTTTCTCATAAGTCACACTGTAGTCATGTATACTAGTCAGTATACATGAGGCTTCAATCAAGAGTAATCCTGAAAGGTTGATCTCGTCCTCTTTAGGTGGATAGCGTTCTCAATGTCCCAGAGTTGAAGAACGTAATAACGGACTGAATCATAGGTCACTAACGTCTTACATCGCCTCTTTCCAAGGCACCAAAAGATTATTCATTTAATCATTCGCCAAATGTTTACTGCATGCCTACTATGTGCAAAACACCGTTCTAAACAGAAGAAACAGTGTGAACAAGATGGCCAAAACTCCGTTTTCATGTTTACATTCTACTTGGGAACAGAGACAATAATTTTGATAATAAGTAAGTCAAACAATTATTGACTCTAAGGTCTTGAAAGAGGCACAATTTAAGATACAAAGAGCAACACATGAGTGTCTGCCCTCAAAGAACTTAAAAAATAAGCATTACCTTAATGCATGCAAGTCTAAAATAGGTCAGGCCAAATTAATTAAGATCAGGTAGCAGGCTTTATGAGAAATGATATTTATGTCTACTTTTGGTTAGATTTTTATTATTCTATATTTTAGAAGAAAAACAACGTAGCCAACAGAAGTTTGTCATACTAATTCAAAGTTTTAGGGAGTAATTTTAAAAATAGATTATTTAAAAGCTGGTAGTGGCGAGTTAAAAAATGGCCATAAATTCTCTGACCCACTTGCCACTTGAGGTGGAGTCTGATGTCTCACACACGTCCGGCAATCTGGGCTGGCCTTAGTGACCTGCTTGCTAACAACAGGTCAGAAGAAGTCACAGGGACTCAGCAGGTTCGTTGGGACGCTTGCTCTCTGAAGCACGTTCTCCAAACACTCCAGCTGTCATGCCATGAGGGGCACGTGCCACGTGGGGAGGACACGTGAAAGTGCTCTGGTCACAGCCCCCGCCTAGCCTACCCTGCAAGTCACTCCAGCCCAGGTGCCATGTGAGTAAAGAAGCCTCCAGATGACCCCAGCCCCGAGCCACCCGAGTCTAACCCAGCAGCCTGGGTTAAACGCAAGCCCCAGATACTGCAGAGCGAAGACAAGCCATCCCTGCTGTGCCCTGACCGAATTCCTGACCCGCGGAGTCTGTGAGCATAAGGTGGCTGTTGTTTCACGCCACTAAGCTTGGGAAAACGAGTGCCAACCCAAAGCCTGTATCTAATTACCATATTTCATTTCTCACCACCTCAGTTTCATCATTTAGTACAGATAAGTTATCCAGAGGTCATGCATCACACAGAGCCGTAGGGCAAATGCATGATCCAAAGTTAATTTTTCAGTTGCCTAAAGCTGTGTGCTGCTTTAAGGGTGTACACAAGTAAGGCTGATGCACCTACATGAAGTAACTCGTTAAGTGCTACCTGTGTAGATGGAAAGATAGCTCTATCGCAGATCAAAGCACACTGTTCCCCGAAGCACCGTACAGGAAGGAGAGAAGGTAACAGTGTGACCGCGGTTCAGAGCAAGTTACCCACAAGGCTCCATGCTGTGTTTACAACATTAAAGAAATGTTTTCTTTCTCCAGCAATCAATTCATGAAACTAAAAATGATCAATGCTTCTAAAATCTATTTCCAAAAATCTCTCACCAGAGATAATAAGGATGTGTCACAGATTGGAAGTAATATTAAGGTAAAATTCTGATGGAAGCGAACAGGATTAAATCAATGAAAATCAGGCATGCCGTTTTCTTCTCATTTCTCAATGTAAACCAATGCGGTGTTATTTAACTGAAAAGTGGAGAGCTCAAGGCTGATAATGTGACATCTTTTACAAAAGTAAAATTGATTTTAGAAGCATTAAAAACAAAATGTACAATTAATGTATGTCTCTTACAACAGAAATACTTTTAAAAGTGAAAAAACAAAATGAAAAAAATCCAACTGGTGTCCTTTTTTCTGCAGTTAACACTGCCCTCTAGTGATAAAGGATAAATGTCAACTATCGGAAAGCAAACATCACAACTTCATTGCTCGTTTTAGTGTGTTCAAGTCAGGACATCTAGTCTACAAATGCCACCAAAGACAGAGCAAACAAATTCAAGATGACCTTTATTAGCTACTGGATGTTAAATTACAAACTCTTTTAAAAAGCATTAAACCAAGGACACGAATGCATGGAAACGGCAGCTTTAAAATACAATGGGATTGAAATATCACTACATAGTGAATTATATTTTCACGTAAAATTGTGCAATTCAAGAGAGACCCTGTAGGCTCATTACCTGTGACTTACAAGGGTAGGCAGGATAGCGATGGTAAAGCCTCACCATGCGAGAAAATTCGACAGGCTTGTGCTCACGGCATGTGTAACAAGCACAGTGAAAAATGTCCACAGCAACCAAGGGCTCACATACTTGCCAGCTTGATTAGGGCACCTAACTCCTCATTTCAGGAAAAAAGCTCTAGAGAAAAGAGTGTATTTGGTTGCTAAGGATCTCCTGAACCCGGACGTGCTCCAAGAGAAGAACGACTTACCGCGGGTGGTGCCGTCCTTCCCCATGATGCACTCCATCGAGGTGATGATCTGCTCCACCACGGGAGGCGACAGCGACGTGGCGTACACTGTGCTGTGAGAATGTGTTCGCAGATAGTCTATCAGCTCCTGGGGGATTCACAGAAGCAAGTCATTAGAGGCGATGCCGGCATGCACGGGCAGTGTCGCTGCCTACCTACCCGCCGGGGAACGCAGATCCCCCCTCGACAGCACTGGAACAGGGACACCAATCTGAGAGGCAACACGGTCAACGCACACTGGCAGCCAATGCGACAGACATATGGCAACGTCCTCTGGCTTTTAGGTTTTGTTTTTTAAACATGCCACAACATGGAAAGATGAGACACTGATTTTAAAGAAGACCTCTGAATTTGGAGAATGTATCATTTAGTGTTATAAACAGACCTACAATGCAGAGTTAAACAAGAAAGTGTTTTGATTACTTTCGGACACAATGGCTTACTTGTAAGTACAATGTTACAGAAAACATCATCTGCATCTCACCCCAGGCCTGCACAGCCCATTCTTACACACCTAAATCAAAGAAGCAAAGTCCTCGAAATCCATTTTAAAGGCATTTAATATCCTCCACATAAAGATGTATAAAATGATATAAACGTGTCAGAAATTCACTGGGTGTTTCATAAGAACACTAAAGCCTGCAATAAAGAATAGAGGCAGACCGTGTCTGTCAGACACAAGGTTTTGAAAACAATCAGTTGTCTATCCCTACTCTCTGATACCTTCTAATTTCACTAAATCTTTAAATAGTCACACAAAAAAAGCTTATGTACCAAAACCAAGACACAAAATGTAGCTTTTTTAGTGCTATTCATCACTTCAAAAATACTCAAAACTGTATAAAACCCACAATAGCATAAATATACTGTACCAAAATGATCTCCCAGAGTATTATTTTTCTGTCCTTTGGTTTAGCAACAAATCTTAACAAAAAGCAATCAACTCTCCAAAGTGAGCCTAGCTTCATTAACAAAATCAGAGGCAAAAAAAATACATCAAACTTGACTAAAACTACTAATGATAGATAATCCCTAAAAGGCAATCAATTAAGAGAAAGTCCATGCTTTAAGATCTCCCGAGTTTTGCCCTGGCTGGCGTAGCTCAGTGGATTGAGCTTGGGCTGCGAACCAAAGTGTCGCAGGTTCGATTCCCAGTCAGGGTACATGCCTGGGTTGCAGGCCATGACCCCCAGCAACCACACATTGATGTTTCTCCCTCCCTCCCTCTCTCCCCACCACCGCTTACCTCTCTAAAAATAAATAAATAAAATCTCAAAAAAAAAAAAAAGATCTCCAGAGTTTTAAAAAGGAATTAAGGATATTTATGAGAACCTACTATGGGCCACATACAAATACTTAATATACATTGTTTTTTTTTTAATAAAACTGCAGTTTTTTAAAAATCACTTTTTAAAAGCGTATACTACTCAGTGTTTTGTAGTATGTTGACAGAGCTATAGAACTTTCATCACTACCTAATTTTACAACATTTTCATTACCTCAAAAAAGAAACCTCATACCCATTAGCAGTCACTCTCCACTTCCCCCAGCAACCACTAACTTACTTTTTCTGTCTATGATTTGCCTAGTTTGGAAATATCATATAGAGAAAATAATATAATATGTGACCTTTTGTGACTCCCTTCTTTAACTTAATGCTTTCAAGGTTCATCCATATTGTGGCGTGGACATGTATTACTATTCCTTAAACCCTTACTACAATCTTATAAGCCAGCATATTTATCTCGGTTTTACTGATAAGGAAACTGAAAGGTTAAGTGCTTTGCCCAAGGTCTCACGAAGTTAGGGAAATATTCAAACCCAGGCCTCTGTCTCCATGGTTCAAACATTTTTACCATGCCACATGTCTCAAACGCCTCAGCATTCATTATATACTTTTTAAATAGAAAAAAAGAAAGCCACCAGAGCTAGCAAAATAACCTTTTCCTTCCTGTCTCTATGCTCACCCACAATGCATCTGAGTCCAAGGGCAGCGAAACTGATCTTTCATTCCCAGCGGCTCCCATGACAGCCCCGCCACCTTGAGACTGTGGGCGCAACTCAAACCCAGCGAAAGGCTGTGGCAAGCAGGCAGCACCACTGTGCGTTCTTTCATACAAGAGGGCATTCTGTATCTCAAACCAGCATGTAGTTTAGAGCGAAGCTCAAACAAGAAAACAACAGACAATGAACAGAACCGGCCTTTGGTGCATCAGAGTCACCAGGCAGCTGAAGTGTGGCCCTGCTGGCACTATGAGCCAAAGCCACAAACTGAGTGAGGATCTCCACATCCCAATTCGGGACGCTGTCTGCTAAACGAGAATGACCGCATCTAGTAGCCAGTACCCTTCTCCTTAACTGCTCAGTTCTCACGGCCCATTTACCTTCTTGCCTCCAATGTATCCTCCAGAAGCACCAAAGCTCTTGGTGAATGTTCCCATCATAACGTCCACATCCTCAGGGTCCAGGCCAAAGTAATCTACCACACCTCGACCTGTGGGGCCCAGAGCCCCGATGCTGTGAGCTTCATCTAGGTACAAGTATGCCTTGTATTTCTTCTTAAGGGCAATCACTTCAGGAAGGCGGACAATAGATCCCTCCATGCTGGCAAAACAGTAAAAAATACGTACACTGAGACTTCTTAAATCCCAAAATTGGGAGCCAGATACTTTATTGTTATTAATTTAAGTTTATTGCTTTATGTAATAATCTAACAACTCTGCCTGTGGTTTTAAACCCGCAATGCTAGATAATGCTGTAGCTGTGCAGGCCTCCAGGGGAAGGGAGACTGGATCTTTAGAAACAAGTACCAGGACACAATTAATCCTAGTTCGCCATAGAGGAACAAAACTCCCAGCAGATTCTTCGAAAGCCTGTAACTATAAGCAACATTACACTTTGCATCACACTGCGTATGCAACTGAAATTATATAAGAAAGAATTTAAAAATATGGGCGGTAACAAAGTAAGTGCAAGGGCTGCAAATAGGTAACCAAAATAGTTCTTAAAATTAAAGGTGTATAATTTGTTTTGACATATTAGAAAACATATTCCAATTCATGACCCTATATATAAATTCCCTCTACAAACAGTAAAATAAGGGATCCAAGTAGAAGGGGTCTTGGGGACCATGCAGCATGATGGAAAGAGTAAGGCAAAAAGACTTCTGTTCTAGTGCTTACTCTGCTTCCATCAGGAAGACAAGACTAATAAAGCAGGATTACCTATATATTCCCTCCACAAGGATCAGAATCTTCTTCCAGGGCCTTCGGGTCCGAGGCTGACCGTACACAATGGCATCTTTCAACAGCTTCTCTAGGCTCTGCATATCTACAGCACATACAGAAGACCGTCAGCGTAAAGTGCCTTCCTCTTTACTAACTTTATTCCAGAAACGCAAATACACATTAAGAAATGTCAGGAAGTGTGTCTCAGATAGCAAAGGACATTAACAAGATCAGAACAGGGCAGAAAAAGGGCAAAATGAGGGAGCTACTGCTAACCTGAATTAAAACCTCATTTAAACTGTAACAAATGTTCAAAACCACAGAAACTCAATGAATGACTGTAGCACAGCTGAGTAAGCTGGTTAGCAGGCGTATGAAATGACCAGTGTTCCATGTTAAATACCTTGTGATTCAGTTAGCTTTCTTTGTATTTGTAAAATCACTTGTACCTTTAATCCTAGTGAGTCATTTAGAAATAATGCATTAAGAAGACTGAGCAAGAGCATGAAGAGCTACTATACACCTCCTAAAAATCAAATATGGGGGAAAACTTGAAAAGACATGCCCATTGCCTCTCACCTAAGATACTCTTCATAAATGCTTTTTAAATAGCTTTATCTTGGTAGTGGGTTAAAAACACACCAGCCTGATTAGTGCCTTAGATGAACTCCTAAATGCACACGTCTCTGTCGTAAGCAAGCTTGACAATCAGTTGAGACTGTTCCCTGTCTGGTCTGATCTGCTATGTGTGCACAACCAAGTTCTTATGGTTCTGTTGGTTCTCAAGGTGGTTCACGGGTACAGGAAACAATGTGGCTAGTACTGCCATTAATGAGGGTCAAAATGTTCCTGTTAGGGATAAATGCTTTGAAGATCATTGACTACACACTTAATATTTTTGCCTTGAAACACTGTCCTCAAAAACTGCCCCTCCCCCCAAATCTATGCAACATCTGGGGTATACTTAACGAGCGTGGGAGGAACACCGTCATAAAGTCTGATTTTACAATCTTTGCTGCTCCTCACTGAAGGAGGGGGTTACAAAGTCACATGATTATGCTCTTTTCATAAAAAAGTACTTTGGTGGAAAAGAGAAATAAGGTAATAAAAACACAAATAAGATGGCCATAGGCTGTGACTGTGTTTACACCTCCAGTTATTCGTAAGAACACGGTCTGTCTGCTACCCAACCCAGACACAGGAGAGGCGGCCACAGGAGTGGGTCCGATCTGAGGCCGTCTGTCCCGCCGCAGAGGGCAGCATGTGGCAGCCGGCAAGGGCCAGGCAACAACGTGCTCGCTGTTTTAGTTTCCTCCGTTTACATACAGAAAAAAGGGGGAAAATCGATACTGATTCAAAATTTTAGATGAAGAGGAAGTATCTGTAGAATACTTAACCATATTCCCAACATAGCAAATAAATTCAGTGTCTCTCTCATATTATACTCCTCAAATCACATGAAAAATAAAAATTTAAATTTAAAACTACCACAGAACTACCAGAAGAAAATAAGAGACTAACCCTATTATCTTTGAATATGGAAGGCATTAACACAAAATCCAAGTCATTAGACAATAACTGTGACACCATAAACATTTTAATAAGTCTGCACAGCAAGACACTGAAAACAAAGTTAAAAGTAAAATAAAAAGTACTGTAATATAAAAGAAAAGGTAAAGGGCTCTTCTAATTAGTAAAAAGGAGAAACCATTTAAAAAAGGACAATTGACAAAGAAATACAAGCACGACATTGTATAAACAGTTGTTTGATACCTAATAATCAAAGAAATTAAGATGTTAGTCACTCACTAGAGCAGACAGGGTTTAAAATGATTCATAATGGTCTGTGTTGGCTTGTGAGTCACTATCACGGTGTTGAGTAAAAATCCGCACAAATGCGTGGAGGCAATTTGGAAAAGTACAGAAACGTGGGTGCCCTTTTACACAGGCATTCTAGGACTGCTAGGAATTCATCCTGAGGCACTAGTCAGACCACTGAGCAAAACGTACGGTACAGGTAGCACCATTTCTAGTAGAACAATTTAGAAACAGACTGAGAGATGACCAAGTAAGGGCATCTGCGGCCACTGCCTGCCTCCCCAACGCCAGGGGAGGAGCAGAGTCACATGTATTGCCTAACCAAGTTCACAATGTGTTGTAAGAAAGAGCAGGTTCCACAAAGGTAATAAATTAGTAAGTCCCATTTACATAAACAAAATGCTATTTGCATCATCCTCATTGTAAAGCACTTTAGACAAGACAAAGACAGAAGGAAGAAAGTCATTACCACCTGTAATCTTCCAACCAGGAGCACAAACCTAACATTTGGGTGTGTGCTCTTCTAGGCTTCTGTCTGTGCATGTACTCGTTTTGGTAAAAGACGGTATTAAACATACAGTTCGGTCATCTTTCCTTCCTCCCCAGATGTGTTTAACTACAGAAGTTATGCATTTTTATTGCAAATAATTATTTTAGTAATACATAAAGATATTTCCCTTAGGGAGAAAGTCTGGCTTAGTACCACCTTCCTCTGTGCTTTTACAGCATGTGTTCACATCTGTACCTCAGTGTCTGCACGCTGTACTCTAGCTACTGGCTTGTCTACAGTCTTCATTGCCAGAGACCCTTGAGGTCAGGGAGCCCGCTTGAATCATCATCTCAACACCCCTAGTGTTATGGCAAGATACACCCCAGGGATCTAGAAAGTCAAATGAAAGGAGAATGTCCTATTTTTATCAAAAGGCTTCCTTCTGCCTTTATTTTTATCACCAGGTGGAAGACAATAACTTTTAAAAGACTGCATGCACCAGAAGGACATTTTAAATGTTGCTACTTCAGCTTCACTTATATTTCCTATTATTAATGTAGCCAATGTTACCACTGTCACTAACCCAAAGAATACTACACACACTAAGGTCAACTGCACAGCAAACTCACTGTTGTGTTTGAAGACCCGAATGGTTGCTCCTGAGAGCCTGGCGCCTAGCACCAGCGATGCATGGTTCAGTTCATCACTCAGAATCAAGCAACCCTGCAAAATCACAAGCACAGGAAGTAAGAAGCTGGAGGGAGGGGGCGAAGGGAGGAGTTTCATTACACAAATTACCAAATGCTAAAGTCATGAATAATAATAATATCTCATTAAGGAAAGCCTGTACAACCGCAAAGCTATCAATTTCAAAAAGTATGTACGTGTATATATATTTATATTTTGCAAAACTGACATAGTGGATGCAACATTCTAGCCTTTTAATTTCTTCATTTCTAAAATGAACATAAATATTCAGCTATATAGCAACAGATTTTTATTTACACCTAAAATCTGCTCTATCAGATGGTCTCATAGAGTTTCATGGAATTTCATGAGTTTTGGTATGATGTGCCCTTTCATTCATGGAAAAAGTGTTTGGGGGAGAAGGCAGCAGAGGAGGTAATGTCTGCGGAAACTGCGTCCTTCCTCTCACTCCTAACCACACCCAGAGTTCCATGAGGGGCCCACGTATTAGTCTATTCCTAAGATGACATGAAGCGTAGGCTTAGTTTTGCCCTTAAAAATCACTAAACGAGCTTTACTTTAAATCCACGTTAAACACGAAAGGTGCCCTCTTAGTACAGTAGCTGGTGCGCCAGTCCCGCAAACCCATGTAAACACGGGTTTCTGCTAAGGTGACGAGGAAAGTCTGACGCTCTTGGGATTTTCACTTCCTCCCCAGTTCTTACTCTTCCACATCTCACCGAGGCTCCAGCCTATACAATGTGAACTCAGACACAGGCTTCTCTGTCAATAATGGCTTCAAAATAGTCGAAAATAGATGAAAAAAAGGTGTAGAAAGTATTAGCATGCTCCCAGGAGAATACAAGAAAAGACATAGAGGAAATATATCTGTATTTATTTGTTGGTTTACTTATTTAATTCATTAATTACAGAGTATTCCTGGATAGATACTTAACAAACTTACAATAGCAACTGTCTGACTGAAATTTTTACTGTGTCAAGTTTTTAAGATTAAAAAAAAGGTTCCCTAATTAAAGAAAGATGTGTAGGTTAAAAATGAAGAGAAGTAGAGCTAGAGGTACCAATATGGTCTGATAGTTTTTTTGATACCTTAGTAACAATCAACACACCAGACCCAGGTTTTGTAAATACTGTTCTCCAACAGAAGGAACCAGGGCTCAGTGGAGAACTGAGTGGTTGACCCCAAGGTCAGGGATAGGTAAAAAGAGCCTGGTGCATCAAAGAAAGTGCTTTAGAAAGAAAAATGGCCAAAACTGGAACGACCTGAGCAACAAAATCATGCAACATATAAACATAAAGGAAAGGTGAATGAAAGGTACACAGGAACTCTCTGTACTCTTGCAACTCTCCTGTAAGTCTAAATTTGTCTTTGAAAAAAAAAGTGTTAAAATTGAAAAAAAAAATGAGAGAAACTGAGGACAAAAATAAAGAGAGGTTGAATTCCTCTTCTGCAAGCCTTCAAACCCTCTCCTTAACCATTCTTGGCATCCCAGTGTACTTTAAAAAGGATCCCCTCCCTTCCCTTTCCACCTACACGATTTTGTCTTCTTCTCTTTCCATCTAATTTTTTTTCTGGCAAAATCTGCAATATGATTGTATTCTTTAGGTTTCTCACCTCCTTTTTAGACAGCCTTAGTCACCATTTCTGTGTATCAATCTTTTTTTTTCATCTAATATACTATGAGGCTCTATTACATCCTTTGTTCAAAACATTAAATGTCTAACATCTAGATGTTTAATATGTTTCAGGCATTATGTTAAGGGCTGTAAATACAATATCATTTTTAATCCTCACAACAAATCTGAGGCAGATACTATTAATATTCCCACTTTACATATGTGGAAACCAAGGAGTTACATAAGGCTTGGGCTTGTTACCTTGCCCAAGGTCACAAGCATGTTAAGTGACTAAATAAAAAGCTTCTACTTCTCTAACACATGCTCTTAGTCAATAAACTGTCTGTCTCTGACTTTAAGCTGACTAATCAATCAATCAATCACCTCACAGAGAAATTTAGTATAAAATTTAAAGAAATATTAAAACTGGATTAGTTGCTGCCTTGGATGGCTTAAATTATATTTAATAACATTTCAACTACAATGTTTGATTTGCACAATAGATGTTGATGGTAGTATCTTTCATGTCTGTATATAAGACATCTAATTGTAGACAGTGACTTTCAGAGTTTGTGGGCACACAAGAGAAGCAGGAGGAGACTACTCAACCCCACTAGTGTAAGAAAATGCTAAGAGATTCTAAATAAGAATCTGAAGTTTATGATGCCAAAATGTACCATTTATCAATGTAAAGTCAAAGAACCACACATTCATGCCTCCCAGGACATTTGGCCATTGTAGCTAAGCTGTTGAATTTACCAGCACAGATTTGTTGCTGTTTCCTTATACCCTTTTAATGTCCACAGGATGAGCAGTGACGTGCCTTCTTTCATTCATTCCTGCTACGGATAATTTCTGTCTTCTCTGTTTTTACCCTGACCAGTATGGCTAGAGAGCTATCAGTTTTATTCACTTTCTCAAGAACTAGTTTTAGTTTCACTGATTTCTCCTATTGTCTATTTTCTAGTTCATTGATTTCTGTATTTACTTGACCGTATCCCTCCCAGTCTTTGGGCTTAATTTGCTCTTTGTTTTTTCTCCCTAATTTCGTATGTTAGAAGTTTAGATGACTGATTCAAACTCTTATTTTTTCCTAATATAAGCATTTAAAGCTGTGTATTCCCATTTGAGCATTGCTTTAGTTTCATCTCACAAATTATATTATAGTTCTAGTATTTTCTATTTGCCTTTCTCTGACCCATGAATCACTTTAAATAGTGTTGCTTACTTTTCAGTTATTTGAGGATTTTCCTGATATCTGTTACTGACTTCTAATTTAAGTCTACTATGATTACAGAACATATTTTGAATAACTTTGATTCTCTTAAATTTGTTAAGGTTGGTTTAATAACCCAGAAAATAGTCTATCTTGATAAATGTTTTGCTGTTGTTGGGTGAAGTGTTTCATAAATGTTAAGTTGATTAATAGTGTTTTTCAAATGTTCTATATCCTAATTGATTTTCATTCTAGTTCTTCTATCAATTATTGAGAGAGGGCTATGGAGATGACAATTATAATTCTGTATTTGTCTATTTCTCCTTTCAGACTCATCAATGTTTGCTTCGTGCACTTTGAAGTTCTGTTATTATGTACCTACACATTTGAAATTGTTATGTCCTCACCCTGTACAGTGTGGCTCAGTTGGTTGGAGCATCGCACCATAGACCAAAAGGTCACGGGTTCAATTCCAATCTGGGTACATACCCAAGTTGTGGGTTTGATCTATGGTCAGGGCATGTACAAGAAGGCAACCAATCGATGTTTCTCTCTCGCATCTCTCTCTCTGTCTAAAAGCAATGAAAACACATTCTTGGGTGAGGATAAATAAATAAATAAGCAGATACATAGAATTGTTATGCCCTGGCTGGTGTGGCTCAGTGGATTGATTGTCAACCTGCAAACCAAAGGGTCACTGGTTTGATTTCCAGTCGGGGCACATGCCTGGGTTGCAGGCCAGGTCCCCAGTGGGGGGCACACAAGAGGCATCTACACATTGATATTTCTCTCCCTGTCTTTCTCCTTCCCTTCTCCTCTCTAAAAAATAAAATTTAAAAGAAGCCTTCTTAAAACAAACAAACAAATAAATAGAATCATTATGTCCTCTTAATGGAGTAACACCTTTATCATTACACAGTGTTCCTCTTTAGAAATATTCCTTGTTTTGGAATCTTTATATTAAGATACTCACACCAACTTTTTTACTATTGTTTGCATGCTATATCTTTTTCCCTCCTTCCAATTTTAACTTACCTGTGTTTTTAAACTTAATGTAGCTTTCTGGTGGAAACCTATTCAGTTTTGTCTAATCTGATAATCTCTGACTTCTACAATACTTGGAATGTATAAACCACTTACATTTAATGTGATAGCAATATAGTTGGGTTTAAATTTCCTCTCTTCCTATTTGTTTTCTATCTTCCCACCTGTTCCCTGGGGAAACATATATTTATATAACTGAAAATGACTTCAGAGTTAACCTAATTCAAGTACTTCATATCACAAAAAATAATAAGTAAATAAATGAGGCTTAAAAAGGTTGTGACATTGTTCACAGTCCCACAGCTAAATTTGACCATATAACCAAACAAAAATTCAAGTCTTTGGCTCATTAATCCACTGATTTTTTCCAATACCATTCATAGATACCGTTGTTAAAATGAGAATAACCTTGAGGAACTGTTCAAATAGACAGTGCCAATCTGCTACAGTGTGATTTACATCCTCTTATCACTTCTCTTTTCTGCTGTGCCCCCACAAACTCTGCCCACAATCTAAATGTGTATGTATATATATTACTTTAACTTACATTATTAGTAACCAATATTACTAACACACGCCACAGGTTTTGTCCATATAATTCTGAGCAACATACATTACAGTGAGAACAAGTATGTATTTTCACATTTTTCTATTTATAAACAAACTACCTGTTAAATAACTTTCAAAACTAAACATTCTTTCTTCCATAATTTCAACCTTTTATGAGGTTTTATTTATTAGAATCTCTTCAAAACGGGAAGTGGAGATGGCAAGAGTCACCTAACGGAAGAGGGAAGGATCATGGCTTCCAGCAAGAAAGCTTCAACTGATATAGTCTCCACAGGACACCTTACCCCAAAAATCTGTGACAGAAGTATCTCTGGGTAACTATGTTTAGCCTAAAGTTTAGAATAGTTTCTGGCTTGCTCTGAATGCTTTAAAAACAAAGTAAGATACATACAAGGGAGTTTTCATTCATGACAGACTCGGCCTTACTTTGCTAACAAGAGCAGGGATGTTCATTGAATTTGTAGCAAATCCCATGCCATATGCCATAGCAGCTTCTACTCCCAAGAAACTCGCCACAAGCTTTTCTAGTTCTTCATGCTTGTCCAGGTTTCCTGTGTGAAGAAGTTAGTGAAGTCAGTATCACCAAATCCCAATTTAAACATTACTCATTATTAAAAGAAATCACAGTGACCTTGTCAAGATGGTGGCATAGGTAAAAGAGGTGCTCACTTCTCACCACAACCACATCAAAACTACAACTAAGTTACAAAACCACCATCATTCAGGTGGTTGAAATCTAGCTGAAGGGAAGTCCCACAACGGAGGCTTTGAAGAAGCCGCACTGAGCCTGGCAGGAGGCACAGAGACGAGGAACGGGCTGTTCCCAAACCCACATGTGGCGAATAAGAATCAGGAGGGATGTCTCTACTGCTGAGACCCCCCCTGAGGAGTGAGGGGTCCCGGGCCCCCCACCAGACCTCCCGGTCCAGGGTTCTAGTGCCACGAAAAGAAATCCCCATAACTCTGGCTGTAAAACCCAGCGAGGACTGTGGCTAAAAGAGGCAGAGGGCTTCTAGAGTCCCAGGCAGTTCCTCTTAAAGGGCCCACAAAAGGACTTACTGGGACTCACTCCAAGTTCCAGCACTGGGGCAGCAGCTAGAAAGACATTAGGGACATATAGGGAGGAACCAAACTGTCTGGCTTTAGGGTGACAGCTGAGAAGCAGCTTTCTCCCAGACAGAAGTGATGGCAGGGGCTACTGTTCCTTTTCTGAGGCACTCTCTTGCCCCACCCCCCCCAACACAGCCAGCAGGTGGGTGCCATTACTGAGTCTCCATCAACCTGGCTAACATTGTTTACCCAGCTCTGGTGATTCCATACTACCCAACTTCTGGATCTGCCCAAAATGTTTCCAGTGGCTTTTCCCTATGAACAGCCTGTCTTTGCTCAGGCTTTGGAATCTCCTAAAATGACTCAAACAAGCAGCATCTGGCCTTGGTGTGCCCCATACCTCTCGACAAGTGGACCCAGGCCCAGCCCTAGCAGCAGCTGGTCTTGGTTTATAGTTTGGCCTCTTATAGGCACCTCCGAGCCCATCAAAAGTAGCAACCATCTGCAGATCGCTTTATAGCTCCCACTAGGTAGCCCTAAGGCTGAGCACAGGTAGCAGCTGACCTTGGCCTGAACATCCTGGGAGGCCCCAGAGCCAACGCACCCAGTGACAGCTTCAGACCACAATGAAGCACCACCTAACCACCTCCACAAGAGACACACTCAAGGGGAGGACTCTGGGCACCAGAGCCCTGCTGAAGTAAGTCCAGCTCTGTGGTGTGGGCCCTGGCACAGCTGGTCCTCCATGGTGGTTGCAGCCAATCAGCCTGGGGTAAGCCCCTCCCACTGATGTGTCAACAGCAAGGCTCAACTACAACACAAAGGTGTACACATCCCCCACACTGGGTTGCACCTGGAGTGCTCAGCTCAGGTAAAAGGGAGGCTGTGCCATTGGACCCTACAGGACACCTACTGCATTAGGCTACTCCACCAAGGCTGGGAAACATAGCAGCTCTACTTAATACATAGAAACAAACACAGGGAGGCTGCCCAAATGAGAAGACAAAGAAACATGTTCCAAATAAAAGAAAAGAACAAAATTCTAGAAAGAGAACTAAACAAAATGAGACAAGCCATCTACTAGATAAAGATTTCAAAACACTGGTTATGATGATGCTCAATGAACTTATGGGAAGAGTAGATGAACTTAGAGAAAACTTGAACAGCACAAAAAAGGACATGAAAACCATTAAAAAAGAACCAGTCAAAAATAAAGGATACACTAATTGGAATGAACAATAACTTACAGGGAATCAGGGGTGCTGGAAGGAAAAAACAGAGAGCAAGAAATTGAAAATGTATTTGGAAAAATTGTAACAGAAAAATTCCCTAACCCGGTGAGGGAAATAGACACACAAGTCCAGGAAGCACACAGAGTCCCAATCAAGATGAACCCAAAGAGACCCACACCAAGACACATCATAATTAAAATGCCAAAGTTAAAGACAGATTCTTAAAAGCAGCAAAAGTAAAGCATTCAGTTGCTTATAAGGGAGTTCCCATGAGATTGTCCGCTGATTTCTTAACAGAAATTCTGCAGGCCAGAAGGGACTGGCAAGAAGTATTCCAAGTTACGAAAAGCCAAGGACCTACCCAGCAAAGCTATCATTGAGAATCAAAGGACAGATAAAGAGCTTCCCAGACAAGAAAAAGTTAAAAGCGTTCATCATCACCAAATTAGTATTCTATGAAATGTTAGAGAGTTTTTTTTAAGGAGGGAGAAAAAAGCAAAATATGATCAATAAAAGGGCAATGAATACCTTGAAACTAAAAAATGAAATAAATGAACAAGCAGAACAAAAACTCACAGATACAGAGAACATTTCCATGGCTGCCAGATAGGAGGTGGGTTGGGGGACAGGTGAAAAAGGTGAAGGATTAGGAAATACAAATTGGTAGTTAAAGAACAGTCATGGGGATGTGAAGTACAGCACAGAGTATACAGTCAATAATATTTTAGTAAGTATGTATGGTGTCAGATGGGTGTGAGATTTATCAGGGTGATCACTTAGGAAGCTATATAAGTCTCATCACTGGAGTGTACACCGGAAACTAATATAGCATTACATGTAATCGAAGAAAAAAAAAAGAAATCATAGTCTACATGTTATAACCTTTTCAGACTAAGGTATAAAGGAGTCAGCATTATGAAGAGCAACGGCTCATAAACAGCACAATAGTTAAACTCAGATTCAGCACCTGTGGTAGAATTTCTATAAGAGGGTTGCCAACAATTTCTCCCATTCCTGTTCCCACATGATAGGTCCAGGTCTAGGCCTAGGAGGCCCAGAAACATCTGCTTTTATACTTTTGAAGTTAGCTGCCACACATACTAATCTAACTAGCCTGTTATAGAGACAGACTATGGACAAAAAGGGACTCTGGGGGATAAAAGACTAAGGGGAGGGTGTGGTCAGCCCTAAGCTTGTCCCACTGCCCAGCCAAGGTGCAGACGTGAGGGCGAAGCCATCCTGGATTCTCCATCCTCAGTCATAATGACCCGCCCTACACCCCACAGAGCTGAGATCAATGTCAACCCCTCACCAAACTGCAGGATCACAAGCAAATAAATGTATGTTTCTGTTTTACGTCACTAAGTTTTGGAATGGTTTATTACACAGCAAAAGACAGTGTAGCACCTTCTCTCACTTTGATCTGACTGGCAAATTTGTATTGTGACTTTACATTAGCACTCAATTCCTTAAGGACGGAATAACACTGGTCAGGGAGACTGGCTACATGCAAAGACAAAAGATGCTGAGAAAGACTGCTGAACTTGGATGCTATGTGTCCTTAAAGCTTAATGAAGTCATTTAACCTCTGTATCTCCTCTGTAAAATACCAATAGTAATATTTGCTCTCTCTACCTCGTGACCAATTATGAGGATCAAGAGAGATAATATGTTCAAGCACTTTATAAAATATCAAAGGTCACAAGGATGTGTGGTTTCTGTATCTTGTCAGTGCTCCCTTAACCACATCACTGGGGACCCTGAGTGAGGACAGCCCTGCTGTGCTTGCCAGTCTCTAGACCCACAAGAAATAACAATGAATTGTTGTTTTAATCCACTAAGTTTTGGTGTGGTTCACAGTAATAAATATCCAGAAAGGTGCCTTATGACTTCTACGGTTATCAGTCTCTGGAACCAAATGGAAGAATTTGGAATCTTCCTTTTAACTAAATAAATGAAGTCTCTTTACATGAATCTGTTATCCCTTACATTTTATAGACGTGTACTACTAATAAAAATAATTAGCATTTATTGAGTAGTTACATTTTACAAGCACTTTACACAAATTAGCCTATTTAAATCTTAAAACAGTCCTATAAGGCAGGAATTATTATTAGCCCCAGTTACCACTATAGAAATAGATTAACCTCCATATGCTCATGGGTTCAGACATTAACAGTACTCCTTAACCACTACCATTTGCAAAAGTCAATAAAGTCAACATTAAAGTTATAAATGGAACAACAGTACAGAACTTTTCTAGAGATATTCTGTATGTATAACATAATGGAAAAGATAAATATATCTCAAAGTGTGTTGAAAGCATTAAAATCATCCATCAATTTAGAAAAATAAAGCATTCTTTACCTGATCTAAACTACATGGCCAACTACGTACCTGGGCACTTAATATTCTAGTTCTCTATTAGTATTATTCCCTCCTGAGTAAAAAAGTTGAGAACATCAACTAGCCAAATCTAGCCTACACTCACCAATTTCCTGCCGAGTGCTGCACACACCAACTCCATACTCCTCTAGGACTTTGGCAGCTGCCTCTTGACACGATCCAGTATTCCGTGCAAATCCAAGATAGTTGTAGGAACCCATGTTTATAACACCTTTAATTGTATTCCCTGTGTACCTGTATTTCAATAGCAAGAAAGTTCATGAAACCCATGAGCAAGTCAAATGTTTACATGTGACAATAAATACAAAAGGAAGCACTATATATAGGAAGTAGAGAGAATATGGTCTAAATAAAAAGTAGCTCAAACTTACTACCAGTAAGTGAAATGAAAGTTAAAATACCAGTTTACATTTATCAATAATGATAAAGATTTAAAAACTGACCATATCTAGTGTTGGCCATGGCACTTGCATGCACTGTAGATAACAATGTCGGTCAGTACTTTTTTTTGAAGGTAGTTTGGCAGTACTTATCCATTAAAAGATACACAGACTCTTGGACTCAGCAATGCAATGCCTACACAATGGGCCATAGAGACACTACACAGCTGACCATTTCCCTTCCCCAGGCACACAAACCAGCGACATCCCAAATTGTGGAAGCTCAGGGTGGCCCCCTAAGTGAGGATGACATGGTTCAGAGACCCATGCAGTGAGGACAAGAAATAAACTGTTGATCTTGAGATTTGGGAGTTTTTCACATAGGATGATGCAGCCTAACCTGCATGTGTGCACTACATACATCAATACAGTAGGATACTCACCAGCCACTACAAATAATGAGCTTGTTGCAGATATACACAAGAAGGATGTTACTGATATGTCAGCAAGTAAAAAACAAGACGTAAGATGATTGCTATATACGATGCCATTTCTGTAAATCGGAAAACGACCTATGTGTAACCCTAGTACATACAATGCCCCACAGAAGACATGTGGAGAGAGAATACACAACAAACTAATGACAGTGGTTACCTCTGGAGAGTGGATTTACAGAGGGATAGTGGAGGCTGTCATGGGGGATTTTCAATTTATTTGTATTGCTTGTCTTTAAAAAAAAATGAAGCCCTGGCTGGCGTAGCTCAGTGGATTGAGTGCAGGCTGGGAACCAAAGTGTCCCAGGTTCGATTCCCAGCCAGGGTACATTCCTGGGTTGCAGGCCATAACCCCCAGCAACCGCACATTGATGTTTCTCTCTCTCTCTCTTCCCCTCCCTCCCTTCCCTCTCTAAAAATAAATAAATAAAATCTTTAAAAAGAAAACGACAATGCAATTGTATAATACTTGAGCTATCTCAACAACAAAATAAAATTTTACGAATATAAAAAGTTTTCTAAACTACTCGATTCATTTAAGCAAAAAAACTCCATATAACCTTGAATCATTTGAGAAATCAAAATACCCAGAAACAAATTCAGATACTTGACTCTGGGAAGTAGTACAATAGAAAGGACAGTTTGTCTTTGTCCTTTGTTTTGTTTTACTAGGTCAAAGTTTGTTTTCAACCATAACCCAACAATATATCAAGCTAATAAAAAATGTATTTTAAATGTCTCATAACAATGAACAACCTGCAAAAGACCTCATCATGCTGTGGCGTACTCTGTGTCTGCTGTTTTGACAAAATACAGTTAAATCTGCAACAGGGTATTTTCTGAAGTGAAAATATTCCTGTTTTGTTGTTAAGAAGTAATGTCCCAAACAAGACCCACCTGAACGACCAGTTGTAATCACGGGACTCTCTCTCCATGATGTCCACGCGGGCCCCAGGCACGCTGCAGATGGGCCGGTTCCAGTTGTCTCTGATCCTCATGTACAGGTTCCTCGTGTAGAAGTTTTCGAAATCCTGATACAATGACACAAAGTCCTGCCAACAAATGGCGAAATACCATGAATTTAACTGAGTCACTTTTTAAAACTTTATAACTTCCCTTTTCATACTGCAAGAGCACTTAAGAATGAGGTCGATTTCACTGCATTAACAGATACGGAAAACATTTCTGAAAGGTATAAATTCTGTCTGTTTTAAAACAACCCAATCAGGTAAAAGTCATGTAGCTTTGATGGCTAACCTATAAGAAAAGGTCGTAAATAACTATATGATTGCATGAATGTAGAGCCAAAGAATTTAATAAAGCAGGCCTCATAAAAGTCGGATGCACATTCCTGTCATTCAATGGTTTTCCTTCCTAATAAATTCAAAAAGACTGCTCTTCTGCCTGCTACTTCAAGTAAAATACTGATGTGGGGAAATACCATAAAAAACCCTACAATTTCAGCTTCAAATAAGAAAAATAATTCCAAAAATAATTCCATTCTTCGCATATTTTCAAGGATCAAAATGAAACAAATTCAAAGAAAAATGATAAACAAGAAACACTAAGAAGTAACTTATAAAAAGAACCCTATCTCCTATTTCTTTCCTTAGCTGGGAGTCTTTATAAAAATTTTTAAAAATATATTAAAAGATTCTTAAAATGAATTTCCCTGACCAGAGACTTTAAAGCCCTTCTTTCCTCCATGAAATTAAGTTATACTAAAATTAAGTCTGTAAAAAAATGAAGTCACAGTGGAACTAAAATGAATGAATGATGTGCTATGTCCCATGTGGTGTGACCACTGCTTAGAATACACATGGCCAGACCATAGAGAATCTACTTAATTCCTGGAGGTAAAGGGTAAACAAAGACAAAAAAACAAACTGTACTACAGCTTACTACAGTCAGAAAACCACTGGGCTATACCCTCAGGTCCAGGCTTGGAGCTAATCTAAATTAATCTAGTGAATAAGCTAATCAAAGCCATTTGAAGTTTATGCCTCATTTTAGTTAGAAGATTTTCATTGCTAAAGAAGGCTCTATATAAAACTTTAAAGTTAATAACCTTATATGATACTGAACTCTAAACTGCCTACTAAATAAGCCTCACAGTAGATAAAATTCATTTACAAAGGCCCAGCAGAGTCCAAAAGTAGGTATAAGAATTTGCAGTACCTGATACCATCTCTCTTGCAACTGGCTCTAACATTTACATTTCCTTGAGAAAATATCTATAAATGGTATGTCTATCACAACTGGAAATTTATTACTTCAATAGTATGTGCCTTTCGATAGTCTCCTCTTCTGACAAGAATCGGACGAACGAGGTTTCCGGTCAAGGCGACCATGTGGGTCAAGGCAGTCCTGGCACCCTCCCGTGACCACATCAAAATGACAACTCAACTACAAAACAACTGTCACAGAGAAGTGATTGAAATCTAGCTCAACAGAAGTCCTACAGCTAAAGATATACAGAAGCAGCCATTTGTTGAAAATAAAAAAGTATTTAAAAAAAATAAATCAAAGTGATGGACGAGAGCAATGTGGACGGAACAATCCAGAAGAAACGAAGAGTGGAAGATGCAAAGGAGAAGTGAGGAGCCCAGGTGGCTGAGAAGGAAGAGGGAAATGGAATCCAGAGGGGAGCTGGCCTTTGACCCTCAGCCGGAGGAGAGAGTGAGTGGAAGAGCAGACCGGTCAGTTGCACAGATGTGCTGGTGAAAGGGGAATTCCGGTCGGGGGTGCACCAGGCCAGCAGAGGACGTGTGAACTACACATGCAGGAGCGGGGAACGGAGGCTGCCCACGGATGTGACATCAGATGACCAGGCTCTGCCAGGGGAGCTCGAGTCTAAAACCGGAGAGCAGGTCTCACAGGTCCCATGCGAGCAGTAACTGGGGTCCCCAATCAGCATTTTAGGCTACAGTTGGCAATGGGGACTTATCCAAAGAACAATCACTGATTAACTGTCTGCACCGAAAAGTATCAACCTCAGGACGAATGGTAAGTAACTGCATATCACCAATATTTTAAGATCGTAATATTATATAAAAACGTTTAGAAATCTTCCTTGACATCCTTTCTTTCTCAAATTTTACCAAATAACAGACAACATCAAATGTCCAGACTGCCATATTTCACATCTAGTATAAACTAAATTATGTGTTATCCCCCCTCCTCTAAAGTTCATATATTGAAGGTCTAACCTCCAACATGACCATATTTGGAGACAGGGCCTTTGCAGAGTTAGTTCATGTTAAATGAGGCCTAAGGGTGAGACCCCAACCCAACGAACTGGCAACCTCACAGGAGGAGACACCAGAGCTCGCTCACTCACTCTCAGCACACCTGCACTGAGAAAAGGCCATGGCAGAACATGGTCAAGAGGCACCTCTGGAAACAGTGAGAGGCCTCACCAGAAACCAACCCTGCTGGCACCTGGACCTTGGTCTTCCAGCCTCCAGAAGTGGGAGAAAATAAATTTCTGTTGTTAAGAAAAAAGAATATGGCTCTGGCTGGCGTAGCTCAGTGGATTGAGCGTGGGCTGCCAATCAAAGTGTCGCAGGTTCGATTCCCAGCCAGGGTACATGCCTGGGTTGCAGGCCATAACCCCCAGCAACCGCACATTGATGTTTCTCTCTCTCTCTCTCTCTCTCTTCCTCCCTCCCTTCCCTCTCTAAAAATAAATGAATAAAATCTTAAAAAAAAAAGAAAAGAAAAAAGAATATGATAAATAAAAATTGCAAAAGACACATCCAAACTCTTATTAAGGACTTTCCTTTGACTATTATTCACCATGGATTTATTTTCTAAAGGAAAAAACAAAAATCTTGTCTCCAATCCTTGGTACTGTTCCAAGAGAATAAACAGCAATAACTCTTCTTGATCTCTTTATAACCTTTCTAAACAAATACTATATCACAAAATTTTATTAGCAATGGAGAGCAATATTTTTTGTTTTTACAATATAAGCATCAGAAGAAACGTAAGCGAGTCTGGTCCTATCTACCATTAGGGTTATCAAACTCCAAGACAGAAAAAGGCTGGAATGAGGCAGACCTTTGGGTAACCAGAGACAAAGCTGTCTGGGATTAGTAAGGAAGGGATGGATTCCAATCTCCTAAAAAGAGACTGCCAGAGTCAGGGAGTTCAACCTCTTCTTTTCATTAAAAGATAGAAGAATTAAGTCCCCAAGATGGGAACAAACTGGGAGGGATGGTAGAGATCAAAAGCAGGTGGCGCAAAGTGTAGAAGAGAGGATTCACTTTACCCCCTACCTAAGTTCCAGGGTAGCAGCTTTAAATGTAGTTAAAGTTAGGCAGAGAGAGGTAAAGGGCGGCTAAGAAGCTCCCTGCAGCCTAGCAGTGAATGCTAAGAAAGGGGACAGGTAAGGGTCGCTATTTGAGGTTCCAGTTCTAGGCAGCATGAATGTCTGTTTCCAAAAATGTATCATATACTTTAAATATTCTAGGACTAGGGTTAAACTACAGGACTTATCTTTTCATTCACTCATTCAAACACCTTTTACTGGACACCCAATATATGTTGGATTCTTGGCTAGACTCGGAACACATTAAAGAACAAAACAGTTCTCTCTGTCCAACAAATGTCACCCCCACTAATTCCTACCCTCATCCGCCTCCACATCCCATCCCTCCAGCTCACTTCCCACACCCCTCTTCCTCCTTCTCAGTTTAGTCACTGTGAAATGATTTTAGTCAGGGCCAACTGAATGAAGACTCATTTGCTTAGTCACTAAACATTTACTGAGCAGTACTTTCCAGGCTCTAAACTAAGCACTGAGGATAAAAATGGGCAAGACAACCTCCGCACTCCCAAGACCTCCTCGTGTGGTGGACAGGCACACCAAGTTACAACATGGTATGACAAGTACTCCACAGGACGCTTGCCCAGAGAGCTGCTTAACTGGCAGCTGACGGCCATGACAGAGTCAAGCTGTGCCCTTCAGGATGCGCTCTTCACGGGCACTCTTCCTGCAGATCCTCACAAACCCATCACGTTAGCACCAGACATGGTACGTAGGGAACGGTAATACTTAGCTGAGACTACACTCTGGATTTCTGGGCCTGAAGAACTCACCAGTTAGGTGACTTCTAGCCTCTAGCTTCAAAGAGAAAAAACCAAATTCATGAATTTCTTAATCAAGGATTGGTGAGCATCTTACCAAAAGCAGTCTGAGGTCATCTCAATAATTAGCCAATGAATATCCATTATTATTTAAGCCTATCTGAGGTGAGTCTTCTAAAAACATCTTATATTGTTTAAAATAAATAAATACTGTATGTTCTGGGGTCCATGTAGGCCTTAACGTCACAAGGGGAAAGGCTGGGTGCTACCACTTGCAGAAGCTGACTTTAGAACAACAGTACATGGTTTGTCAAGAGCAATTCTGGCCAACACAGATGCACAATACTTTTAAATGATGAAGATAAAGATGATGAATAATCATGTCGATCGCAAAAATAGTTCTCATTTACTGAGAACTTACATGTCCTGCCAAGTGCTTTAAATATATTTTCTCTTAAATACCCCTGCATCCTCTTACAGAAACGATTACTCCCATTTTTAGAGAGGCAAAATGGCTTTCCCAGTTAGGGAACTAGTCAAAAGCAAAGCCAGGAACTGATCCAGGTCTTTTGACTCCAGAGTCTGTGCTCCTAACCCCAATGCCACATTGCTTCCCGTTCTGTGCTGCTGCTACATCGGAAATTCTCTCTGAAGCATTCAAGGCATGTTACACCACTGTGCTCTTGGCCTTCCCACACTTCCGGCTTTCTGCACATGCGAGTGCATGCAAACAGAAACTGGAAGGCTGAAAACGGTATTTCCCAGAGACCCTTACGATAGGGATGCGACAGGGTTGCGGATGTGGTGCAGATCCTACCAGTGGGGGACAGAGGCCGCTGTTTTACACCAGCGCAGGACACGAGCTCTAACAGAGCTTCAGGACGGCAGCACCAGCTAGATTCCACATTCCTGCCTCTGCACCGGCTGTGGTTGAGCAGTGGCTGGCCGTGGTGGCAGCAAC